TGATTTCTAAGCTTTGCAGTAACTACTAAAACTTCAGACATCACATCCCAACAAATGTGTAAGAATCAAATTATTTCTTCAGTATTCAGAAGCTTCATCAGTTTCTTTAGCTAAAGCCTCTTCAAGCAGCCCTTGTTTTCTGCTGACATGTAATACTTTCATTATATCTGGCATTGTTCAAATCATTAATGTGGGGGGAAAGTGAATTTAGAATTGCTGGCCATCAGTCCACCAATTACTCCATTAAGCAGATTTTCATAAAACAGTCCTGGAAGGCATTTATTGTTCTTTTTTTTACAGATGAGAAAATTAGAGCTCACAGGGATTAAAGGGCTACAGTCCTGTACATAACTGGTTAGTAAGAGCGCTAGGATTGAAGCTCGGCCTCCTGACTCTACATTCAGGACACCTGTTGCTCCGCCATGGCGCGCAGGCAGTCCAGGGTGGCTCTGGGCCATAGATCAGATGTGTCAGTCCCTAGCATCAGGAAATGGCATGTCATTTGTTAAGCCCTCATGGGCTTGAGGTACCAGGAAACAGATGCTTTTCCCTGATGTCATGGAATGTCCATCAAGCAGTATTTTTAAAGTCTTTACCATTGTACTAGTACTGACTTTACATTTTAAGGTTCAAACTTATATTCATTATAAATGTACACTGTCCAAGTGCTGTGTGTTCACTGGCAAATAGAACACCTCCACCTTCATGGACCTTACAGTCTTACAGCTTACAATCTATCTGATATTTTTCCCTTGGTTATTAATTTATTGCTTAATTATGGCTTTAGAATATTGCATTAACGAAAAGCAATAAGATGCCTTAAGACTCATCAATTACTTAACCCTTGAACTTTTGTAAGGTTTCCTTTCTTCTTTTTTTTTTTTCAAACTTTTTCTCTTTAAACTCTGTTCTTCTGTTTTTTTGTTCTTTGAGGAAGATTGGCCCTGAGCTAACATCTCAATCTTCCTCTTTTTTTTCCTTCCCAAAGCCCCAGTACATCCTAGTTGTAGGTCCCTTCTAGTTCTTCTACGTGGGACGCCACCTCAGCATAGCTTGATGAGTGGTGCGTAGGTTCGTGCCCAGGATACAAACTGGTGAACCCCAGGCCTCCAAAGTGGAATGTGCTAACTTAACCACTAGGCCACCTGGCCAGCCCCTCCTTTCATCTTTCTTTCTTTTTTTTTTTTTTTGTAAGGAAGATCAGCCCTGAGCTAACATCTGATGCCAATCCTCCTCTTTTTTCTGAGGAAACTTGGCCCTGGGTTAACATCTGTGCCCATCGTCCTCTACTTTATATGGGACGCTGCCACAGTAAGGCTTGACAAGTGGTGCATCAGTGCACGCCCGAGATCCCAACCGGTGAACCCCAGGCCGCCACAGCAGAGCGCGCGCACTTAACCGCTTGCGCCACCAGGCCGGCCCCCTTTCTTCTTTCTTAAAGCTAAATCCCCAGATGGGTGAGTAATTAGATCAAGGTTCAGAATGACATGGAGAGATAAGGTAATTGCAAACAACATTACCCCACTTTGAAAGAGATTTTATTTTGGTCTTTCACCTAAAGTGAAAGAGGGACCTCTTTCAGTAGAAAGAGGTTTGACTGAAGTAGCTGGTTTAGCTGATGGCAGAAAAATCAACCATGAAATATAAGAGTTTCATAAGATTGTGACATAACCTACTTTATACAGCCATTATATAATCCATGGCAAAACAGCAGGAGATCCTAAATAATTTATACTTCACTTTGGAATGCAATAAACTCATTATTTTTCTGTCTTTGCAGATTTAAGGTCCCAATTATTGACCATTTTGTTTTGATGACTTCAATTAGTTTTCATTTCTTGTGCACTAATTGAAAGTGGTAAGAAAGAATGGTCAGAGGGATGCTATATGCCAAAGAAAGTCACTCCAGACTTTAGAAATTTGCTCCAGGAAGCCCATCAGAAAGATAAATCTTATCATAGAAAGGCCACAGGAGAATAAATGAGAATTAGTTTAAAAACAAATATTTTTCAAGGAAAGAGGGACAATGGCAAGAAGCCCCAAGGCTTGTTTCACTGATAACAGCTCAGGAAGAAGTCATGTTTTTGAGACTCCTTGGAGGGTGTAAGGGTTGAGTGGGGTGGGGTGGGGAATGGAAAAGACCTGGGAAAAGATTTATCCATTTATGCATATAACAGTGCTTTCTGAGCACTTACATGTGAGTCACTGGGCTGGACTCTGGACCACAAGTAAGAAATAGACATGGTACTTGCCCTCAAGGCACTTGCAGTTTAGAGGGGGAAACAGAAAGGGCAAAGGAATTGAGGGTAATCAGGGTAAAGGAAGGACTGTGAGCATTCTTGGGAGGGATAACTAACTCATATTGACAAGTCAGAGAAGGTTTCCTGGAAGACTTCCCTAAAGCTGAGATATGAAGGATGAGAGAGGCCAAAGAAGAGGAGAGAAGATTGTTCCTAAGGGAGGAAATTGTATGGGTAAAAATCTCAGAGGCAAGAGAGAGCAAGCATGGAGTATTTAAGGAAAAGAAAATAGTCAGTGTATAGGTTGGGGGATAGTGATGGGTGGTAAGGGGTAGGGATCCTCTAAGTCTGGTTAAAAACTTTGAGTTTTAACCTGAGGGCAAGGGAGTGATGTGATCAATCTTTATTTTTAAAAGAAAACTCTGGCTACAAGGAAGCTGGGGGAAGCTGTTATCATCCAGGTCGCAGATAACGGCAGGCTGTACTCAGAAAGTTGCAGTGAGGATGGAGAGAATTAAGAGATAGTCAATACATCTTTAACAGAAAGAATCAGCAGAAGAGGATTTGATTATTGATGGATATGTGACATGCTGACAAAGGAGGAGAAAGAGTTTCTGGCTTTGGCAACTAAATGGGCCGACTCACTGAGACAGGAGACCCCTGGGGTTGGAGCAGGTTGACTGGGAGGTGGGGGAAGGTTGAGTTAAAGGTGGCTGGAGGATATGTTCACTTGACTTTCAAGAGGAGACAGGGCTTAGAGGTTTGGGAATCATCTGCACAGAGGGGAGAAAAGAAGATTCAAGACAAGGCCCTGAGAGAGGCCCACATTGAAGAGAAACAAGATTTAGATGGACTTTTGAGAGAGGAAAGAGAAAAATTGGAAGAAAGTGGTATTAGGTAAACCCAGAGACAAGAGCTTTCCAGAGGGAGGGAGTGATCAACAATGTTCGACACCACTGAGAACCAGGTGGAAGCGTCAGACAAACTCAAATTGAAGGACAGTCTACAAAACAACCGACCTGTACCCTTCAAAAATGTTAACTCCAAGAAATACACAGAAAGTCTGAGAAATGGGGATTAAAAGAAACTAAAGAGACATGAAAATTGAGAATACAATGCATGATCTGGGGTTTTCTTTTGCTACATCTTTTATTATTTTTAATAGTTGCATAATAATCCAGATAATTAATTTTATTTAATTATATTTGAGTTTGTCATTTTCTGAAACAAATAGGAAAGTAACAATTTCATTCCAGACTTTCTCTAATCACAATCTATCGTGTTACTTTGGAAGAGTGTTTTTATGAGATCTATTACATCAAAAAAGTGAAAATCAAAATTATACACTTTGATAACCAATGCACAATGCTGGAAGAGAAAATGAAATTTACAGTTGTGATACCAGCTCAACACAAGGTTGACACAAGGAAAGCCATGTTGTAAAAAAGAAACCCTACTGTAACTTTGAATGACCTCTGACTACCTAACCCAGCTGGATATGCACCCTCCAGGGGATCTAACTGCTCTGTAGATTTTACGACCCCTGCTTGTACATGTACCTCCCAGCTGAGATAAGATGATAACTTTGTTCTTTTGAGTTCCTTAGGAATGTGATGACCCCCGAACAGAGAATCTATGCTAATAGCCAACATCAATGAAAACTGAAAGATCTGGTGTGGCGACTCCCAGTCTGTAACACCAGAAGGTCAACATTCCTAACCCCCTCCCCAATAACCCACCAGCCTATATAACTGCTGTAAGACTTTGTGCCCCTTAAGATGGTTTTTTTCAGACATTAGTTGGCTATCTTCCCTCTTGCTAGCAAGCTGTAATAAAAAAGTCCTTTTTCTCCTACCACCTTGCCTCTTAACTATTGGCATGTCTTGCGGTGAGCAGAAGGCCCCACATTGAGCGGTAACAGTTGCTGTGGTAGGTTTGTCTGAATGTGAAGGAAAGTTAGTTTTACTTCTAATTGTATCTTTGTATCTTTAAATTTGCCTTCAAAAGGTCACTACATCTCCCAGGCTGTCTTAAGCTCACAGTATCTGGCATGTGGTTGGCCAAACCTCTGCTAGTATTATTTAAAATATTCATCTCAGGTGCAGAACTCCTAATTTATGGGGCCCTATCCCAATCCTCCTCAGAGGAGGCTGTGAATGTAAGGGACTCTTTCAAGAAAGTGGTGAAATGGGGAAATAACCCTCAGCCTCTTTTCTGTGGTCCTGTAATTCTGGCAGTTGTGTACGGTTACCTGCATGCAACATATTAAGATATTTTCATTCTCTTTGTTAATATCTGTCTCCTTTTCATGTTTTTATAAATGTAGACATTTAAATTTTTTTTTTTTAATTTTTTGTTTATTGCAGTAACATTGGTTTATAACATTGTAAAAATTTCAGGTTACATCATTGTACTTCTATTTCTGCATAGATTACATCATGTTCACCACCAAAATACTAATTACAACCCATCACCACACATATAGACATTTAAATTTAAAAAATTTTTTCCAATATTTTTCCTGTTCCCTTTAGTGTCCACCAAGCTCATTTTTCAATAAGCCGCCTCTGAAAACTGCCCACACTAGCCAGGTGCAGAAAGCTTCCTTGGCTGCGCAAATGCCCTCAGTCAAGATGGCCGCGACTACCCTCCATTGCCCTTGCTTGACCTCAGCAAAGATGGTTCCCGTGACTTCCTTTGAAACCTCGCTTTTCCCATAACAAATATGGCCCTTGCGCTTCCGCTTCTGGATTCCGGGGAGCTGCTTTTGCGGGGCGGTGAGTGACGTTAGGACCTGGCGAGTTTTCTCTGCCAGGTGTCTCGATTGACTCAGGAGTGCCTTGGGTTTGGAAGTAGGGAGGGGATCTCAGTAACTATCAGATCGTTCTCTCACAGTTGGGAAGTTGTGGCGGCTTCCCCTGGCACACTCCCAGTTTCCCGCCCTCCCATCCCCTCCTCCACCCTGATATGCGGCCTTTGCAGCCTCTGCTTTGGGGAATACCTGGAATTTGCAGGCAGTATGTCTGGATGAGCTTCATTCTTTTTCTTCTTTTTTAAACAGCTTTGCTGAGATATAATTCATATACTATAAAATTCGCCTATTTAAAGTGTAAAATTCAGTGGCTTTTCGTATATTCCCAGAATTGTGCATTCATCACCATAATCTAGTTATCATCACCCCCAAAAAAATCCCTGTACCTATTAGCAGTCACTCTCCATTCACCATGACCTTCCAGTCCTAGGCAATTACTAGTCTACTTATCTGGTCTACTAATCTACTATAGTTTTGTCAATTTGGACATTTGGTATAAATGGAATCATACAATTCTAGTGGTCTTTCTTGACTAGTGTTAAAAGAAAAACTGAGACATATTAAAATTTTTAAGTCTATCTGAGCAAAAATCAATTGGGTAGCATCCAGTCTAGCAGATAGAAAGGAGCTCCAAGGAGCTGTACAAATAATTTTTATAGGCAGAAGAGAACGGGAACAAAGAAGTTCTACTAGACAAAAAATCAGATTGGTTATTGTGAGGTTACTTTCCTTTAGTGAATAGCAGGGGCCTGTCAGGCAGGTTACCTAACTAGTGCTGATCAGATGATTCCTGATTGATTGGTTTAAGATTCTGCTTCTGGGAGAGCCAAAACTGGAGTTAAATTAAATCTCAGTTGTGGGGTTTAGTATAAGCAACTCCATTTGGGCCCTGTTGTCTTGTTTTTTAGCACTAGCTTCTTTCACTAAGTATAATGTTTTCAAAGTTTGTCCTTGCTGTAGCATGCATTAGAACTTCATTCTTTTATTGCTGAAAAATATTCCATGTATGCATCCACCACATTTTATTCATCCATTCATCAATTGACGGACATTTTGATTGTTTCCACTTTTTGTCTATTTTGAATAAAGTTGTTATGAACGTTTGTGTAAAGTTTGTGTGGACGTATGTTTTTATTCTCTTGAGCATATATACCTAGGAATGGATTGCTCGGTCATAGTGTAACTCTGTTTAACCTTTTGAGTAACTGGCAAACTGTTTTTCAATGTGTCTGTACCATTTTACGTTTTTGTGTGTAGATATCTAGTTGTCTCAGTGTTCGAAAGACTGTCCTTTCCCTGTGGAATTGTCTTGGCACCCTGTGGAAAATCCATTGACCATAAATGTAAGATTTTACTTTTGGACTCTCAGTTCTTTTCCATTGATCTATATGTCTGTCCTTTTGCCATTGCTACAGAGTCTTGATTACTGTGGCTTTGTAGGAAGTTTTGAAATTGGAAGGTATGAGTCTTTCAACTTTGTTCTTTTTCAAGATTGTTTTGGCTTCTCTGGGTCCCTTGCATTTCCATATGGATTTTTGAAATAGTTTAGTCAAATGTCTGCAAAAAAAAGCCAGTTGAGATTTTGATAAGAATTGCATTGATCTGTAGATCAATATTGCCATCTTAAAACATTAAGTCTTCCATTCCATGAACGTAGGATGTGTTTCTATTCCTTTAGATCTTCAGTTTCTTTCAACATTTTTTGTAGTTTTCAGTGTACATGCCCTACATATTTTTTATTAAATGTATTCCTAAGTATATTATTCTTTTTCATGCTATTATAAATGGAATTGTTCTTAATTTCAACTTTATTGTTTATTGCTAGTGTATATAAATATTTACACAGTATTTGTAAATATTTAACAATATTTATCTATAATAAACTATATTATTTATTACATAATATTTGTAAGTATTATCTATTGCTAGTGTAAAATCATTTGTATATGATTTTACTGTGTTGATCTTGTATCCTGCAAGCTTATTTAACTTGTTTAATTGTTCTACTGGTTTTTTAAGTAGATTCCTTAGGATTTTCTGTATACAAGATCACATCTTCTGCTAATAGAAATGGTTTTACTTCTCTCTTTCCAATATGGAAGTCTTTCATTTCATTTTCTTGCCTATTGTGCTGGCTAAAACCTCCAACACAATGTTGAGTAGAAGTGATGAGAGCAGACATCATTGTCTTGTTCCTGATCTTAGGGGGAAAGCCTTCAGTCTTTTACCTTGAAGTATGATGGTAGCTAAGGGTTTTTGAAAAACACCCTTTATCAGACTGAGGAAGTTCCTTTCTATTCCTAGTTTGTTGAGTATTTTGATCATGAATGGATGTTTGACTTTGTCAAATGCTTGTGTGTGTGTGTTGTGGGTTTCGTCCTTTGTTTTACTAATATAGTGTATTACATTGATTGATTTTCTGGTGTCAAAACAACTTTGCATTCCTGGGATAAGTTCTACTTGGTCATGGAGTATAATCCTTTTTATATGCTGCTGGGTTCAGTTTGCTAGTATTCCGTCAAGGATTTCTGTATTCATATTGGTCTGTAGTTCTCTTGTGATGTCTTTGTCTGGTTTTAATATCAGGATAATACTGGACTTGTAGAGTAAATTGGGAACTGTTCCCTCTTCCATTTTTTAGAAGAATTATCCAGGAGAGGGAAGAACAGGTGCAGTGGGAGGCAGCAGAGCTTATTGGAGAATCTGAGAGAAAGCCGTTATGCCTGAAGCATGGGAAGCAAGGGGGCCTGAGGTTGGGAGATCTGGGCTAGAGAGAAATTTCTGGGCAGTAATTGATGTCACAGAGGAGGAAAGAAGAGGAGAGAGCCTTGGGCTAAGTTGGAGATGGAGGGTGAACAGCAGGGCAGGCAGGAGGGAAAAAAGGCAAAAAGATGGGAGGACAGTCAGGAGAGTGGCTTCTTGAAAAGCAGGAACTCCTCAGAAGAAGGAGTTTTTAGAAGTTATGTGGGAGAGTGATGGAGTTGGTGGAGACGAGGAAGTGAGCCAATTGAGACTCTTGAGAAGTTTGTGGAGGGGATTAGAGACTGGCTGTGAGGAGTGCAGGTGTCAAAGTTTTTCTTTCTGCTTTTTTTTCCTTTCCTGACAATTTTTATATTGATATAATTTTATATCCTCAAAAAATTGCAAGACTAGTACAAGGAACTCCCAAATAACATTTTCCATATTCACCAATTGTCTACACTTGCCCCATCCATTTACTTTATCATTCTCTCATATATTTGTATATAATGTATATGTATGTATGTATATAATGTGTATATATATATATACAGTTTTAGAACCATTTCAGAGTATGGTGCAGACATCATGTCACCTATGACTAAATGGTTGAGTAGCATTTCCAAAGAACAAAGACATTCTCTTATACACCAAGTTTTGTTGAAAATAGGAGCAATTTGGGCATGTTGAAAAGCCTAAGCAAAGATCCAGTGGAACAGAAGCAAGAGAAGGGATTGTCATCACTGAAGGCTTCTAGAAAGGTCCAGAGAGTGGGATCTAAAGCCCAGGTGGAGAGGTTGGCCTTTGCCACAGGTAGGACAGCTCCCCTGTTGTAAGGAGAGGTGAATCAGTGTGCAGATGTGGGGGCCTGTGCTATGTTTGATAGGGAAGTTGAGGAAGTTCCTCTCTGCTGGATTCTGTTTCCTTTGTTAATTAGGAAGTGAGATGATCTATTGAAAAGAGGAGGAAGGTGTGTGAGTGATGGGAAGGGTCTGAGTTGAAGAAAAGTGGATAAACCGTGAAAGAATCAAGGAGAGGGGGAGAGATGAGATAAACATCTAAGGATTCATGTGGCCAGATAGCAACGTTCCCGGCTGGTGCTCATTCATTTAGAGACAGCCAGTCTGCCCTGTTACATGACTCGCACATCCGGCACGTGGAGGGTGGGTAGATAGTTGAGTTCATCTAGGCTGGGGTTTTGCCAAACAGGTGTGATGAAAAGACAGAATGGGCAGGAAAGGGAAGTTTAGGGTGTTAACAAGATTATGGACTGGACAAAGATGAAAGAAGCAAGATGGCTACTGGGTGGGAAATAGAAGGGTAAATGGACTGGAGGTAAGCTGGGAAGATAGGATCCTATAATTTGTTTTTGTTTCTTTTTTTTTTTTTTTTGATGAGGAAGATTAGCCCTGAGCTAACATCTGTTGCCAATCCTCGTCTTGTTTTTGCTGAGGAAGATTGGCCCTGGGCCAACATCTGTACCCATCTTCCTCTATTTTGTTTGTGGGATGCCTGCCATAGCATGGCTTGATAAGCAGTGCATAGGTCTGCGCCCGGGATCCGAACCTGTGAGTCCCGGGCCGCCAAAGCGGAGTGCACAAACTTAACTGCTACCCCACTGGGCCAGCCCCTGTGATTTGTTTTTTATTTATTACTATTTTCTTATTGGAGCTAGCGGTTATCAAGTATGGATACTGTACTAAGTATTTTACTTGCATTAATTTCATATAATTCTTATGACAACCCTATGAGATAAGTACAGTCATCAACCCATTTTTTATAGATGATGAAACTGCAGTTAAGTGACTTGCCCGAGGTGACACTGCTAAAAGGTGATAGCAGGGGTTCAAACTTGGGTCTCTGCAACTCCAGAGACCCTGCGTATCTCTGGACATTTCTGGAAAGGTTCCTAGCTGTGTTCCCTGCTTCAGGTTTAAACTCCTTTGATTCAGGCTTCATTCACCTAACAGAGTAAGTGTTTGAAAATGCGAATTGATCATATCACACCCCAGCTCAGAAGCTTTTATTACATTAAAATTTTAATGGAAATATGTATAAAAATAAGATAAATTGATGGATGAATAGAGTTGGATAGATGGTTATCTGATTAAAAAAATCATAGTAAAATGTTAATTATGAAATCTAGGCAGTAGCTGTATGGATGTTCGTTGTGTAATTCTTTCCACTTTTCTTTATGTTTGAAAATTTTCATGTAAAATATTAGGAGGAAAGAGACTTAATTGAAAGAAAGTAAATGAAGTTAAACCACTTTTTTTTTTCTTTCGTGAGGAGATCAGCCCTGTGCTAACATCTGCCAATCCTCCTCTTTTTTTGCCGAGGAAGACTGGCCCTGGGCTAACATCCGTGCCCATCTTCCTCCACTTTATATGGGACGCCGCCACAGCATGGCTTGCCAAGCAGTGCGTCGGTGCGCGCCCGGGATCGGAACTGGCGAACCCCAGGCCACTGCAGCAAAGCGCGCGCACTTAACCGCTTGCGCCACCGGGCCAGCCCTAAACCACTTATTATACGTGGACCCTGATTGTTTGTATGTGTAGGTCTCTAAGACTCTGTAGAGTAGAAGAATGCTGCTTCTCTTGGGACGCAGGTTATGTTTATGTGCTTAGAGACTTCTTATGCCTGCAAGCCCAGGGCGTCCTATACTCTCCCATATTGGAAAAGAATCTTTAGATTGTGTAATTAAACCACTTTTAAGAAAGGAAAATGAAAACTTCTGGAGAAGGAAGTTGAACCACATATCAAAAGTTTTGGGGCAAAGGATAATCATTGCATTCCAGCTGCCAGCCTAGGTGGGTCTCCATAAGAAGGGTCTCCTCTGTCCCTATTACTTGCTTTCTCCTGTACAAATTTGCTGAGTCCCAACTAATGTGTTTCACATGCACAGATACTTACTTTATAATAAAAAGGATTCTGCCTTTCAGTAGGCATTTTTTCTCTTTTAGGTCGAATGCCCAGTTTGGAATGTATTTGACATTTAATATAAGTGATTCTTTTTTTTTTTTTTTGTGAGGAGATCAGCCCTGTGCTAACATCTGCCAATCCTCCTCTTTTTTTGCCGAGGAAGACTGGCCCTGGGCTAACATCCGTGCCCATCTTCCTCCACTTTATATGGGACGCCGCCACAGCATGGCTTGCCAAGCAGTGCGTCGGTGCGCGCCTGGGATCCGAACCAGCGAACCCCGGGCCGCCGCAGCGGAGCGCGCGCACTTAACCGCTTGCGCCACCGGGCCGGCCCCAATATAAGTGATTCTAAAAGAAAAGACAGATAGCAGATCAATGTGCAAAGAAATCAAAAAGGATTCCTGTCATTTGGTATCCCTAATGACACCTGCTGTTGATGGTTGATTTTAAGGCACCTTGTCAGGCAGGCAGGATATGCCAGTGTCGTTTGTTGACCTTTTTGTTCGCTTCCAGGAGCCTCGGAGCAGCGTTTGGTAACAGGACAGGAGGAGGAAGAGCCACAGATGCCTGCAGTGTTTGCTGAAACTTCAGGCTTGGTTGGCTAACATAGCATGTGTGAAAAGACAGGATGTTCTCGCTTCTTTGGGAACCTTGATCATTCTACTCCTTTCAGAAGCAATCAGCTGATATCTTGGCTCCCTCTCTGCCTGAGCAAATGTCCGCAACAGCATGTGACCGGGTGTCCTCAAACAAGAAGGATCTCGCCAGGCCTCTCTGTTGATCTGTTTTATACACTTCCTATCTTTGCCTGATCAGGTGGTGGCTTGGGCTGCAGCGTGGAGGCTTTGCAGACGCAGGAGGCTGGGAAGTCTTGGAGCTGGGTTCATCCTAGCTTGGTACTTTCTAGATGGGTTTCCTTGGGCAAGTTACTCTACTTCTCTCTGTGTCTGGGTCTGACTGTAAATGAGGGTAGTAGTAGGATTACTTGCCTTATAGGGCTGTTGCAGATGAAGCTCCTAGCGCAATGCCTGGCTTCCAAAAAGCACTCGATAAATGTTAATTATTCTTATTATTATACTGGTCATGTTATTCTGAAATTGCATCTTTCATTCAAACTTATGTCTTTGAGATCTCTCCAGTTCTGACTGTCATTTTAACAGCTGCATAGTATGCCATAATTTGGAATACTGCCTCCTCCCAAACCTCTTTCTCCTGTCTTCTCTAACTCAATGATACAACCCATCGCCGAAGCTGCCACTGCTCCTTGACTCTCAGTTCCTCTTTAACCCCTTTGTCCTTTCAGTTATTAAGTTCCACTCTCATTTCCTTCCTAAATATGTTCTTAATCTGCCCCCTGCTTTTGACCCAGAGTGCCCTGCCCTCATTCGCAAGCTCTTGCTCTCGCTCCTGGACCACTGCAGGTGAAATGAATTCCTGTTGCTTCTGAGATTGCCTGCCGCCAGGCTTAGGCCCTGCAGATCCACAGGTGCTCTCCAACTGCCAAATCTGCAGATCTGACTGTGTAACTCTTTTGCATGGTACATGGTGGCCCATGGCACGCATGACACCTGGTGCTGGCTATAGGATTTATTGATGACAACTTATGAAGCAGAGAGTAGCAGAGGGTCCAGCGTCTCCCCAGGTCTACAGTGATTTTGTAGAGAGGTGGGCAGGGCTGGATGCACTACAGAGAGCCCTCTGGTAGAGAACCCAGCGCCCACAGGTAGACAAAGACCCAGGAGGGGTAAGGAACACCTACTTTTATTTTTTTTTTTGGCTGAGGAAGATTCACCCTGAGCTAACATCTGTGCCAGTCTTCCTCTATTTTGTGTGTGGGTCGCCGCCACAGCATGGCCGCTGCGCTTGGGAGCCAAACCTGGGCCGCTGAAGCGGAGCACACCAAACTTAACCACTAGGCCACCGGACTGGCCCCAGGAATGCCTACTTTTTAACAAGAAATGTCCGAACACTGAACCCAATAAGCCACCTTGCAGTCTCCAGAACTCAGCTAGAGAGTTTGTGTATCAAGTTGCTGATAGCAGCCAGGTCTTGCTGTCCTTCCCAGATCTGGCTCAGGAAGAGGAGAGGGCCCCGCGGCCATCTAGCCAAGACTGCAGTTGGTTTGTCCCTCCCCAGTTACCCAATGTGTGACAGTTCCTTGGCTCTCACTTTAATCTCCTGACACCCCATGCCACTTGTGGTTGCCTAAACTGGTTCTTCTGGTGTTCATGCTGTCCCCTGGTCATGGCCTGGCCTGCCCCATCCTTGGGGATGACCTCCTCCAGAAAGCCTACTGCCCCCTTCTGGGCTCCTCTCTGCCTTGTCATTGTGTTAATGTGTATGTGTCTGTGTTTGGATCACCCAAAACTGTGAGCAACTTGAGGGAGGGTTTGTCACATTCACCTTTGTATCCCCAGTGCCTGGCACCAGGCCTGGCGTGTTACATAATTGACTGCATGCATGTTTGAGTAGGCCACAGAGGACAATGCAAATCACCTGTAATCTCACTACCCAGATAACCACTGAAATTGATTTGGGATATACCCTTCCAGACTTGTTTTTTCTAGCTATAGATCTTTATATTTCACACACAGAAATCTCACACATGATATTTTATTTTATAAAATCTAGATCAAACTCTACCTATTGTTTTAAAATATTTTTCTATTTAATATTATCATGATAGTTTCCTTTCTCGTTAAATATTCTTGCAGCCCTGGAATTCTAGTGCTGCATATTTCGTCGGGTGGCTGTTCTATGATTGAACCTTTCCCATGTCAGACATGGAGCTTATTTTCCAGCTGAAGTTATTAATGGTTTCCTTCTGTGCTGAGGGGATTGGTTTCTCATGATGAAGAAACATGGTAAACAAATACTAGGTCTAAAGGAAGGACAAGAAAGACCGTCAATAACAGGGGAAAGCAAATTATTCTGCTTCTACTGTTGTTTGATTTTTAAGATGTTAGGACTTTGTCTTTCAAGCTGTGACTCTAATGGAGGCCCTCTTAGACAGTGCCTTTTGTATTGAATTACTTCATTTTCTCCATGGCAGCACTATGGCGGCCCAGGACGCCACTCCAGGCAGCCAGTCAGAGGAGAGCAATACTTTGGATCTGCCATCAACCTGTGACATAAGAGATTACGTGTTGCAGAGACCTGGCCAGGAGCCCAACAGCGAGGCCTTTAGTTCTGTGGAAGCCTTTTCTACTCCTTGCTCTTCTGAAGTGGATCCAGGTAAGGAGCAAAGTTCAAAACAAACTAATGTTGAAAAAAACCCCTAACATATAGAGGTGTGTGATAGTTTGTTTCTCTTTCTTCCAATAGCAGACCTCTGAGGAATGATTCATTGTCTTGGGTAGAAAAACATTTTATCTAAGCAAAAGGTGGGGAGAGACTTCAAAGGAGAGCCTCCTTGGTGTGACCCCACGAGGAGATGTTTCCTGGAGGAGGCCTTTTGTGTCTGGGGCCCTTTTTGATCTCCATCCAGATGCTTTCAGAGGCAGGGAAACACTTGGTTCAACAGGGAGAGAGTGGAATTGTTTTGTTTTGTTCTTTTAAAACTTCAGAAAATAACAATGTAGGCCTGTTATGTGTTATAGGTAATAGTAATAGGGACTTTACTATTCCTCTTATGAAGTATACTTTGGATTTAGGTAACAACTTTTCTACAAGTTTCCTTGACTGAATTGCCAAAAAGTCTATTATTTAAGCTTAATGATAATTCCTTGATGTAATTAGTGACCATCTCTGGTTGTAATTCCCGTCTCTTCCCTGTTCATTGCCCAATCCAGACCTGGAGATCCACAGACCTGATTCAGAGTTCTGCCACTTACTGGCTGTGTGACTTGAGGCATGTTTCTTAACCCCTCTGAGCTCCAGAATCATCTACAAAATGGCGATTGCAATGCTTGCCTCATGGAGTTAGGTTTAACTCAGGGAGCAATGTAAAGTACCTATCATGATATTTGTCATACATGGGTGCTCGGTCAATCATTATTTTTGTGCTTATTATTTGTGTTGTTATATTTGTGTTATTTTTATTATTAATATTAAGAAACCCAAATATGGGGTTTTTTTTAGCTGAAGAAGATTAGCGATGAGCTCACATCTGTTGCCAGTCCTCCTCTCTCTTTTTTCTTTTGGTGAGGAAGATTAGCCCTGAGCTAATATCTGTTGCCAATCTTCCTCTCTCTTTTTTTTTTTTTTTGGTGAGGAAGATTAGCCCTGAGCTAACATCTGTTGCCAATCCTCCCCTTTTTGCTAAGGAAGATTGGCCCTGGGCTAACATCCATGCCCATGCTTCTCTACTTTATATGTGGGACGCCACCACAGCATGGCTTGATAAGTGGTGCATAGGTCCGCACCCGGGATCCGAACCTACAAACCCCGGGCCACCAAAGCGGAGCACGCAAACATAACCACTATGTCACCGGGCTGACCCCCATTCCTCCTCTCTTTTTGCTTGAGGAAGAGTGTCCCTGAGCTAACATCTGTGCCAGTCTTCCTCTATTTTGTATGTAGGTTGCCGCTACAGCATGGCTGACAAGTGGTGTAGGTCCACACCTGGGATCAGAACCCACAAACTCAGGCCGCTGATGTAGAACGTGCTGAACTTAACCACTATGCCACGGCGCCAGCCCCCAAATATGTATTTTTAAAGAGAACTTGGGTACTAAGGAAATATAGGCTTTAATGATGATGAATTCAGTGTTGGCAGTAAGGATGGTGTGTACCTGTCATTGTCTTCAAGAATTCCATGAAAAAAAATACTTTTTAAACTCTCTTGTGAGTCTGTTCTGATTTTCAGGACACAGAGTAATCAGGATCAGTCAGCCTCTTGTTTAATTTAGTTCCTGACCAAGAATTATATTATTCCTTATCCTTTTCCTTTCTAGACTCAAAATCTCAGTTCATTTAACCTTCCCTCTTCCCCCTCCCATCCTGCTGCCTTTACATTAATTTCCATCCCTAAAGCTGATTTTGTTCCTCATCTCTGGTTATTGTAGCATTTCCTGGAACAGGTGAGTGAGTGAACAGAACTTTAGAAGTGTTGGCCTGTTGAAATACTTCATAGCAATGGTTCTATTCTTCCAGAGAATTCAGTGTGGACTCAGTTTTTATTTTTATTGCACATTGGATAAATAGTCCATAAGAAAGCAACTGTTATTAATTTGAATTGAGTTGACAGTTCTAAAAACGAGAAGCATCTTGAAATATTTATGTTGGAGTATTTGTTAAAAATCTAGACATTTCATGCAAAAAAGTTTCTTTTAGAAACCCTTATAAATATCTAAACGTGAGAAGGAGCACTCAAAGGCTAAGACAACTGTTTTGCATGGTATTGGTGGTGGTGGTGCTGGGTCAGACTGTGGTTTGAATTCTGGTTCTGCTCCTTCCTGTGGTTTGACCTTAGGCAAATCACTTGGCCTCTCTGTGTTGGTTTCTTCATTTGCAAAATGGAGATAATAACACCCACCTCTGTTGTGGGGGAGTGATAAGGAGGATGAATGTGTATGAGGCATGGTGCCTGGCACGTGGTGGGCTCTTGGAAATCCACCTCTTCATGAGTTCAGCACCTGGGCCACTCAACACACCACCACACTGACCAGGCTCCCTCTAAATTCATGAGCTCCCTCCCTCTTTCATGCTGCCCATCCATCACACACCATTTTCCTAGTGAGTTCACTCTCCTGCCCTGCTGGATGACTGTGTTGTATCTTCTCTCTTTGCAAACCTCCATTACCTCCTTCAGTCTCTGTCTCAGCTGATAATCCTGTCTCCTCTTTCATCAAGAAAGCAGAAGCAATCAGAAGAGAATGACCACACTGTCACTCTCCACATCCATCAGCTTCCTTCCCTCCTGTTTCCGTGGAAGACCTGTCCCTGTCTTATCCTTCACTTCTGCACTGCATCCCATCTGCTCTCACCTACTCAAGGTTGTCACTCTGGCAATCTCCTGCATCATTGGTTCTCCCTCTATTGGTCATTCTCATGATTGTACAAACATGCTGTAATATCTCCCGTCTTGAAAAAATGCCCACCCTCGACCTCAAATCCCCCTCTAGTTGCAGTCTCATTTCTCTGTTTTCTTCTACAGAATCATCAACACCTGCTGTCTCCAATTCCTCTCCTTCCAGTTCCTCCTAAAACCCTCCAACCTGGCTTCTATCTCCATCACTCCGTGGAAATAGCTGTTGTCAAGGTCACTGATGACCCTCACATTGTTAAATCCAGTGGTCACTTCTCAAGCCTTATCCTTCTTGATCTATCAGCAGCATTTACATAGTTGACTTTCTCCTTGAATTCTTTCTTCACTGGGCTTTCTGGGAAACAGCCTCTCATGGTTCTCTTCTTACTTTACTATTTGTTCTGCCTCCTTTGCTAGTTCCTTCTAGCCTCTCTAGCTTTTTAATATTGGAGATTCCAGGGCTGAGTCACCACATCTCTTCTCTATTATCACTCGCTTCCTAGGTGATCACATCCAGTCTTGGAGCCTTAAATGCCCTCAGTACCCCACTCAATCCCAAATTTCTCTCTCCAGCTTGGATGTCTAGCTTGACATTTAGACCATCTGTGTACTTGATGTCATCGCTTAGATTTCTATTAGACTTCTTAAATTTGATATATCCTAAACCAAATTCCTAATTCCTCTACCCCCTCCCTAGACCCTTCTCCTCATATACACACATACCTATTCTTTGAGGCTTTCTCATCTCAGAAAATGCTTCTATCCTTCTCTTCACTTAGGCAAAAACCTAGGAGTCATCCTCAACTTCTCTCTTTCTCTTAAATCTCACATCCGGTCCATCAGCAAATCCTGTCAGCTCTACCTTCAGAATAAATCTAGAATCTAAACAGTTTTTGCCATCTCCACTGTCACCACCCTGGTCCAAACTACTATCATCTGTCTTCTGGATTATTGTTACAGTCTCCTAACTAGTTTTTCCACATCAGCCCTTATCCTCCTACAATGCCTCCTCACCACAACCACCAGAAGGATCCTTTTAAAATATAAATCAGATCTTGTTAGTTCTTGGTGCAAATCCCCTATGACTTCTCATCTGACTCAGAGCAAAAGCCAAAGCCCTTACCTGGCGCCCATCCCCTCTGGCCCCTGGGCCTGCTGCCTCTCTGACCTCACCTCCTACCATTCTCCCCACCCTCGCTGGGCTGGGCCTCCACCACACCAAGCGTGCATCACCTCTGCCCTGCATTCTCACCCTTCAAGGAGGCCCACCCCTGCCTCCTGTGTCTACAAGCCAGCTCCTGCTGACACTCCCTTGGTGTATCCTTCCCAGCTTTATTCTTCTTCACAGCACTAGTGCATCGGGCACCCTATGTATTTGATTAATTTATTCGTTTGTCTCCCCCCACTGGAATACAAATTCCAGAATATCAGGATAGCAGGTACTCAATAAATACTTGTATAAGGGGGCTGCCCCTGTGGCGTAGTGGTTAAGTGCGTGCGCTCCACTGCTGGCAGCCTGGGTTCGGATCCTGGGCGTGCACCGATGCACTGCTTGTCAGGCCATGCTGTGGCGGCGTCTCACATAGAGTGGAGGAAGATGGGCATGGATGTTAGCTCAGGGCCAGTCTTCCTCAGCAAAAAGAGGAGGATTGGCATGGATGTTAGCTCAGGGCTGATCTTCCTCACACACCCACACACACACACACACACACACACACACACACACACAAATACTTGTATGAGGAATGAATGAGTAAATGTCAACTTCTGTTATTATGTCATTAAGAGATATGCCTGTATGGATTTAGGGCTGAAGTTAATAGCAACATAGAACATCTCTGTTTTCATCCTCCCTCCCCACGTACACACATAGCTTAAGCCTGGTTATGGATAACTGGAAAGTTCCATGTTTAAGGAGTGGGAGTCATAGGCAGCACTAAATTTTGTGAAGCCTGATTGTAGCCCCATGGCATGATCAGTTTTGGAAGAGGAGATGGTCAGATTTCCTCTACCTCCCAGAAGAACAGTCAAAACGTGTAAACTGATGGAGACATGGCAGAACTGTCAGCCATTTAACGTGTGTGGAGTAAGTTATAAACTATCATGCAGTGGTGTAAACTCTGGGCCATTTCTGTCAAGAGAGAACACAAGAGGTATGTAATGTGCACCCCACACAGATGAGTCACTCCATGCCTGCGCCCTTTGGAGAGCCAGTTCTTCTCACTTTCTGTCTGCTCGGGCCTCGACCCTATCCCTAGGTGCCCAG